CCGGCCGGCTCGCACGCTTCATCCACGCAGGTTCGTCTGTTAAGTCCCGGAACACGGTGTCCCCGCGGGGGCGGCCGAGACCTGAAGCGGGACCAAGCGTGGGCAGCGGCAGCAGCACCAAAGGCTCGACAAGAGCTGACAGCAGCGGCGTCGCAGATGTTACCCCTCAATGATTTGGGGGGGGGGGGGGCTATGAGGGGCTGGGCTTCCCTTCTTTACCAGGGTTAATAAGCACAGCAGCAGCAGCAGCAGCAGCAGCAGCAGCAGCAGCAACACTGGGGCAGCGGTAAAACTGCAGGAGCTGTAAAACGGCCGCAGGCTGCCTGCATTGGTTGGCTCGTTGCGGAGACGGAAGGAAGCGCGATCGCTTTATTTTGAGCTTGGCAGCCGGGAAGACGACTAAACCCGCTTCTTTTAGACTTGAGACGTAGAGGCTGCAGGGGCGAGCCAAGCCTCGTCTCAAGAGAGAGAGGTTGGTACAGCGTCGACTCCGTCCACGGAAGGATCATCGACTTTTCTCCTCGGGCAGAGGCGAGGCGTATTGTCTGTGTTTTGCGTCATTTTGTTTTTTTGCGGCGGCGGGGCAAAGGGGATCAGCCCAAGCGCTTTGTTTCTAGGGGGGGGTCTTCCCTTTGCTTGATAGTTGTATAGAAAAATTGGTATTGTTTGGACAGATGGTATTGTCTTTCACACTACCTCGATCGTACTGCGTCGATTCGTGCGGTTGGAACGGACGTGACGGGCGCGAGTTTGACCAATAACAGCGATGGAATACGGCGGGTCCCCACTTCTTATCTAGAAGTGCCCTCTGTAGATGGGATATATCATTTTTGCAAGAACGCAGCTGAGTGCGAGGCAAACAGGAATTACTTGTTTGCTGCGGTCGATGGCCTCTGTCGTTTATTTTCGCCCACCGCTGCCAGTGCTGTGGTCGTGGTGCTGCTGCCGCCGGCGCTTTGGCCGTTTGTGGGGGCTGTACTGTTGAGGCTGTATTGCAGTTAGAGATAGATGCCGCGCGGGTTAGCCCCCTTCGAAAAGAAGCTCCTTCTTCTTCTCGGGGCATTCTTCGGAAAATTCCGGTGTTTTTTTGGCTTCCGGTGGATGCGCCGTGCTTCGCCGAGCTGTAGTCGAAGCAAACAGGATACTGAAGCAAGCTCTACCGGTTTGGTGACAAGGGTGGAAGAGATCCGCTCAAGATCTCGTTGACTGCGGCGGGGAGATGTATGCTACGGCTAGACGGGACGTGGTGAACGATGTAGCGTGGGTCGTTACTGACTTTGAATGATGCCTCGACTCGGGATGATGGCAACTGGTGTTTCTTTTTTTTGTTTTTGTTCAGTTTCGCTCGTGGCGAACGCGATCACGTATATATTTAGTGTACAGAGTGCTTTTTGGAAGGCAGAGTAAGACGCCATATTACTGCTGCTGATTAGCCGTTCCTTCGATTTCGATTTGCTCTTTTTTCTGGGAGAGAGGGGTGCGTTTGGAGGAGGGCAGAAAGAGGGGGGAGAAGGGCCGGGGGGGTTGGAGGATGAGAGGCAAGAGCGTACCACGCAGAGAAAGAAAGAGCACTTGGAATACTGTACCTTGATTTTGGGTGTTGCATCGCGTATTGCGTACGGAGAGAGCATGAACAAAGCTGTTCTTCTTGGGATATAAGATCCAACTAGCTTGGTGCCGGCACAATTTTGGCAGAGGCACCGTGGCATAATTGGAGTAGCGAGGGGGGGGGCATTTTAGGTCCTCCCGAGCACTCTTCGTTGCGAGTAGAGGTGTTACTCTTGCTTTTGAGCCGTGGATATACCAAATCAAGAAGAATCCAAGTCTCAAAATCATGACGCCATGAAACGATCGGCTGCATGATGTCTTCTGGCCCTGGAAAAGCAAGCACAATTTCTGCGTATGCAACACGCCCGATCCAGGCGTTTTGTTGGGTGTGCGTTGTAAACAATGGCCCCGCCATCTAGCACTAGTCTAAGGCTTTAGGACCCCGCATTTGCTCTCAATATTAACAAGGATACAGCAGGTCGGGTTTATCCTAGGACTCCAGCCAGCACCACAATTTCATGGAAAAGGTCAGCAAGCCTTCCGATCAGACATTGCTGCAGCTGTGTGTAACGGGCAACACCTAGGAAAATCTCATTCTTGTCTCCCATCCCTTCGAGGTTCTCTCTTGGAGGCACAAAGAGACGCGGTCCCGATCTATCGTACGCATGCCGTGTGCGCAAACACATCACAAACCGCGGGAAAGCGTCGAAAACATTCATTCTATCAGGTCCTTTTGGTCGACCGTTCCCTCTTGATCGACCGTCGGACAACACCTCCCCCCTGCCCCGCCAAACTCCAGGGACAAGAATAATCGCGATCGCAACTACACCCCAACAGTAAACAAAGGAGAGCCAGACGCCATTAAAAGCACCGCGAGGAGGAAAGTTGACTTGGCTAATACAGTGAACAAATGCGAGACACCGATCCCGGAGAACAAGAAGGCAACAACAAAGAACGCCACCATTAAACCCATCGTACACCGTTTCTACACGCCAATTCTCAACCACGGCACCCCCCCCTGCGCGCGCACTCCCTGCCTCCCCCCTCCTGCTCTCAACGATCGAAACACGTGTACGGCGGCAACAATACAGGCACAATCAATTTACCCTCAGTTTGAAAGCGCCAGAGGCCGTCAAACAAACCCGTTTCACGAAAAAAGCAACCAACGCGCGCTTATCCTAGACAACAACTCGTATCATGCCATCATACAATACCCGGGGGAAAACATGTTCAACCCAAGAGGTGATGGAATGCGCCGAGCTGGGTTGTACCTGCCGCCGTTGCCCCCCCCTCCCCCCCCCGCCGCACGACCAACGACTACCCGAGACATTCGCTCCGTCTCGGCTTGGACCTTCCACTCTATTCCTTGGCGACATGTCTACAAGGCCGGGGCATGAGCATGGATTTCATGAACCTCACTAAGGTTACTGTACAGCAGGACCACAACCGTCTCGCGCTCTATTGTTCCATTTTACACACGATCTACGACGTCAGACGAAGGAAAGAACGGCGATGAATGCACGCACTACAAGCTCCGCCTCTACAACTCTCCCCGCCCCGTCGCGCCCTGCCTGCCCTCCCGCCCATGCTGGCAGGCCATCCTCTCGCTCGTGGAAACCCTTGCAAAAACGGACGGCCTCGTGATTCCTCACTTTGTGTCCGCACACCAAAGCCCTGACGCGAACAGAGGACATCGGCCGAAAAACAGAAAACAATCTGGTAAGCACGAATGACTGCTGAAGGTCCGGCACTGTCGCGCAAAAACACGTACAATAGCAAGCGGCCCCATCGATTCCGCGCGTTGCGGGTTCAATTTCGTGCCATTGTGGAACTGACGCTCCATGCCGCTTTTATTAGGTCGTACTAGCTCGTGTGATTGCGCTGTCAGAGAACATGTGCCCCAGCGCACCGACAGCAGCGGCCCGGCAGCAGAACTATCGCACGAGTCACTGGAAGAATGTGTCGTACCCAACCTCCTTGAAAGTCATCCGGACGCCTCACCACCCAAGCTAAACGAAAATCAACTGCTTTATCATCGGCTACTGCCTTCGTGTTTGTACAGGCTCACTGATGCCTGCTGCTGCCGTGCCACGCCTTCATGGTCAGAATTCCTTCCCTTCCTGCCCCCTCCCACCCCTCCACCAACCCCTTTCTGTCTGTCTCTGTCTCTGTCTCTGTCTCTGTCTGTCTCTTTCTCAAAAATCACACATGTATAGAACACACCTTTACTGCCGGATGCCGGTGCCCCAAATCTCTCTCCCCTTATTCCTTCCGCTCGGAGTCCGGTGTGTGTCCCCCCCCGTCGTCAGGTCGGTCCACACCCGTTTCTTCTCTCGCTCTCACCAGCAACGCCATCACCGCTCGCACTCGCTCATCGTCCCCCCGCCCGGGGACCCCCGCCGCGGCCTCGCAGGCCGAGATCACCGCGCTCCACGCCCGGTCCGTCGGAACGAGGCTGTCCGCGAGCATCAGCCTGAAGACCGAGACGGCGCGCTCCCACTGCCCAGCGTGCCCGGCGGCATGGACGGCCGCGACGTACGTCCGGACGTTCGGCTCGGCGGCGGTCGCCCGGGAGCGCACTTCTCCCAGGAGCGCCAGGGCCTCCTCCCAGCGCCCGCAGCGGCCGAGGGCCTGGATGGTGGCCGTGTACCCGACCACGTCGGGGGCGACGCCGATTCGCTCCATCGCCCGGAAGAGCCCCACGGCCTCCTCGAACCGGCCGGCGCTCTCGCAGGCGGTGATGGCGGTGTTGTAGCTCGTGGCGTCAGGCGCCGGCAGGCCCGGCGCCGTCGACATCCGCTCCAGCAGGTCCAGGATCCTCTGGCACTGGCCCCCCCGTCGGAGAGCGTTGATCGCCATGTTGCAGGTGGACACCCCGGGAGCAAGTCCGACCGTCGGCATCTCCTCCAGCAGCTCGACGGAGCGCCGCCAGTCCCCGCCGGCGCCGCAGGCGACGATCGCCGCGTTGTAGCAGGGGACCGTCGGCCTCAGCCCCGCCGCGGCCGGCATTTCCCTCAGCAGGCCCAGTGTTTCGTCCGCGCAGCCGCCGCCGGCGCACGCGGACATGACCTCCGCGTAGCAGACCTCGTCGGGCTGTAGCCCGTCCCGCTGCCCCCTTCGGAAGAGCGCCAGAGCGTCCTCCCACTGGCCGGCCCTGCCGCAGGCCTTGATGGCCGCGGTGTAGCTCCTGAGGCAGGAAGAAGGCTTGCCGTCGGCAACCGCCAGCGCGCGCGGCAGCAGCTCGAGGGCTTGCTGCCACCGGCCGCCGACCCCGCACGCGGTGAGGGCCTCGTGCAAGACGAGCGCGTTGGGAACGACGCCGGTCGCGGGCACATCCCTGTCGAGAACGCCGAGAGCTTCGTCGAACTCCCCGGCGTGCTTGCAAGCCCTGATCGCGTAGGCGAAGCACAGGCAAGCGTTCTCGCAAGACGCCCCCCCGCCCGTTCTCATCTCCGGCAGGCTCTCCTTCAGCACACCCAGGGCCCTTCGCCACTCCCCCGCGTTGCCGTACGCGTTGATCGCGATGCCGTAGGTCACGAGGTCGGGCTCCGCGCCCACCTCGTCCTTCATGTGGTCCAGCAACGCCACCGCCTCTTGCCATCGGCCCGCGTCGACACAGGCCTGCATGACCCGGTTGAACGGGAGGACCTCCCACTTTCTGTCCGTCTTCTCCGATGTCCTCTCCATGAGGACGGACAGCCCCCGCTCCCACCGGCCGCCCCGCACGCACGCTTCGATCGCCAGCTTGAAGCTTCGGTAGGAGGCTTCGGTGGCCCAGCCCCTGGCCTCCTCAAGCAAATCGGAGCACGTCCCCCACTGCTCGGCGGCGAAGCACGCGCTCATGGCCTTGTGCAGGCAGGCCGCGGAGAGGGTCGGCACGTCCCCGGCCCTGGGCCCGAGCTTACGGTGCATGCGCCGGAGGACGGCGGCGGCTTCGCGCCAGCGGCCGCACTCTTCCAGACGCTGCATCACCTGATGGCAAAGGACATGGGCATGCACAACCGCGTCGACGAAGTAAAAAATAACGCGACGAGTGATGGAAGCCACAAACGACCGCACCGAAAAGGTGGCCAACGAAGACGCCCAATTACCAGCAAGTGCGGCTGCTGCCAACCACGGGGAGCGCTTGTATCGTGTATCCACGGGGTAATGTTTGGAGTTCTCGTGGCAACGTCGACGGGTATGTGTGCTGTGGTTCAATCGGGCGTTTGTCGGGGGGGGGGGGGGGGGGGGGGGTTTTGGGAACCTCCGGACCGCGGGGGATATTCCCCCC